GAAAGTCAAAAGTTAATGCTGGTTCTTAATCTCTAACGTAGAGCAACAAGATGTTTGGGGGCTTTCCTGTTGCACTTCGTATTTGAGTTTTTACCTTATGCAGCCAGGGGTGAGGTCTCAAAGAAATCCCAGTCAAGCCAGCATTTCAAAAAGAGATACTAATGTCTGCAAAAAAAATTGGCAAAAAGAAGAAAATATATGGTGAAGTTAAAGAAGCTAAATCAGTTCCATCTTTTGCAAAGTCCGTGATTCATATTAAAGTCTATGAAACATCACTTGTGCTAAAAGGAGTGCCATGACCTCGGAAACCAGGCCATGACATTCTCCTCTGTTCAAGTTGCAACAAACAAGGTTGAGTTGTGCCCACACAGCAGCTATTTTCACAACACAAGTTTATGCATCTGTGCATCTACCATGGTGCCTAACTGTGTTTGTATCAGTGTATTCTGGGAAAACATGGACAGCTGTCCTGCGCTGCCTCAGACGTAGCCAAAGTACATGCACACTCCCCTTAGCCCGAGCCAGCTGGCACAGGCCAGCCGTGAGTTTTTAATTGCAATGTAGACATACCCTCTGTTTCTTTGATTAAGACCTCAGTTGAAATCCAGGCCTCTGTCTCACAGGCCTAATAATCAACTTTAGCCATGCCTCAGAGCTTCTTCAGACATCCTTAACCAGGCTTTATATGTCAAATACATATGAAACCACTTTTTTTTTTCTGCTCCTTGTTTTACCTAAGAAATATCAGAGATATCAAATTTGCTTTCCCATTCTTTACTGAATGACTTTTTAGGGCATTAAATAATTGAACTACAAATTTTTTTAGCTCTGAAATGAAGGGATGAGGATTGAGTCTTTCACAAAGAAAGCAATTTTTCCTCCAATGGTTGTCAAAAATTTGAGTTAAATAGGTTTTCTATTAAAAACAAAAACCAACACCAGACTAATTCAAAAACCCTGCTCCTCTCAGTTGCTCAGGTTTCAGGCCTTGTCTAAATAAAAATAATTATTCTGATTTAACTCAGGCCTTATCTACATGCGAAAGTTTTAAAAGATATGCTAGCTATATTAACACTGGCATAGTTACACCATGTAGACACTTATTCTGGTATAAAAGATGACTTTTTTCAGTTAACTTAAACTTCTTTTCCAAGTGACAAAACCTAAACTGGAAAAAAAACTCATTCTAACACTGGAATAAGTTTGTCATCACAAAGGGAGGGGAGAGGAGGGTGGTTATATTGGCATAATTGTATCAGTTTAAATTCATACCTTAGGTTTTACTGCAAAACCTTTGCTATGTAAACAAGGCCTAAATACCTTAGAAATTTAACTACATCTGTTTCTAAGCAACTGTTATTTAAAAAGAGAGATGGCCCACCTTTATATATCATAGTGAAGTCAAAAGAGCCCAACTTCTTTTGTCCTATTTGCATGTCACCTTTCAGTGCAGTACTATTGTGACCTATACTGTATGGTCCTTTATCATACTCCAAGGGGGAGATGGCATTCATTTGGTAGCTCCAACAGTTTACAATACAGTAATAAAAGTATGTAAAAAATCTAGGACCATTTACTGTGCATACTTTCTCCTTCACATCACTTCCAGAAGGCATAGGCGTGCTAGCCCACGGTAAGATAAAGCCATCACTGCCCCATTATTCCAAGCTATCAGCATCCTGTGGGTCTCCTCCTTTGCCTTTTCGACTAAGCTCCTTGATACAGGAACCATGGGCTCAGTTCCTCACACTGACCATGTAGGTGAGCTGTGTTACAGGCCTAGGCCCTGATCCACAGTTGGATCTGCACAGACAGATCTTTTGCATCTGTGTGGACACCTATTGATATAAGTAGTGTTCAGTGAAGCTCTAATTGCATAATTGTGGCTCTGTTCTTTAAAAAGTGAAATCCCAGGCCCACTGAAGTCAATGAAAGTTTTGCCATTGAGTTCAGTGGGGCCAGGATTTCACCCCAGAATAGGGTAATCAGATGTCCCGTTTTTATAGGGACAATCCTGTTTTTTGGGACTTTTTCTTATATAGGTGCCTATTAACCCCCACCCCCTGTCCCATTTTTTCACAGCTGCTATCTGGTCTCCCTACCCCAGGACTATAGCATGGCTTAGTCAGATTCTCTAAAATGTCAAAATAGAACTTTGTTAATGGTTTTGTTAGTGTGTGTTTTGGTTTTGGTTTTAGAGATCAAAGCTGTGAAACCGGTTGGTAACATGTTTAAAAGGTGGTTTGATCTTATTTACACAGTCAAGACTATAACATGATCTGTGACATAGTGGACTTTTTTGTAGATGTGCACAAAATTATTTCTTTGGTGTATTTGAGAAAGACAAAAAGTAGTAAAGCTTTGCGGTCTAAGGCTTGGAAGTATATTTTTCTTTAAGTAGAAATTGGCTTTATATGTTCCAATTTGTAGTGGTTATACCAAAAGCTGTGGATTTGAATTGCATATTGCCTATGCTTGCACATGTAAATGTTAGTTTACCCCCATCAGGAGCAACTATAAAGCCTCAGATGATTACATAACTGATCATTTGCAACGCTATCTTCTCAAGATGGTTTACTAATCAAAATGCCTACGAAGTTATGAATTATCTTGTTCACTCTTCCACCATGAGCATGAGGAAATCTCATACAATTCTAACTGCATTTTCAAGTGTGAGAGACCTGGATTTTTTCCAGTGCACTCTAACTAGTAAAGAAGCTGCAACAGAGCACAATGCCAAGTGGAGATAAGCTGTCAAATTCCATACCAAACATTTTAATACCACAGACTGATCAAATTTAACTTTGCTCCATAAGGGTGTATGTATTTTATATGTGGTTCCAGGGTGCCGAAGTATTTTCTGTGAAATGTGTCATTAATAGGCATTGCAAAATATAGCAATAAATTGTGGGAGGTTGTCTTCAATGCCCAGTCCTAGCCTTCAAACCTATTTATACAATTTCTTTTTTCAAATTACTGAGCTGTCATCTTGATAAAAATCATATTGAGAAGTCTTTGTTGAAGATACTAGACCTGAATAGTTAAATAAAAATATTACATTAACGCTAAAATAGGTTTTGTTGAAAAGTGTTGTGCTTAATTATTTGTTGGGTTGGGGTATTTATTTGTAGTTGTCTTGTGACTCCTGAACCAATATGAATTCAGTTCTGACTATCATGGCACTGCACTGTTTGAATCAAAATCAGTAAAAAGTTTTATTTTTAAAAAACAGAAGTTGTAGAGGATTATCAGAGGAGCAGCATGCTAATATACAGCCTGATTCTGGGTTGTGTATTCTTGGTTTGTTGGGTTAAATTAACAAATAAGGATGCAAAATGAGTTTAAGTAGCAATTTAAATAAATAAATTAATCAGTTTTAGAAAGTGCAAATCTAAAACAATGTATGCAGAAGGAACTGTCCAATAGAGAGAGCTGTAACAGAGAAGTTACCATTAAGTGAGCTGGGGGGATGAAGAGGCAACAACATGATAAATGTAGAGTTAAGTAACACTTTAAAATTTTAGGGTCTGATTTTCAAAAATTCAGTGGCACAATTGCAGTTACCTAAATGTGTGTGCAAATTGTACAATTGAGCCCACATCCCTGATTTATATGTGCAATTGTCATTATTCCAGGTGCAATTTCAGTACACCATTGCAGTCACGCAGTTGTGTGCCTGACGTACTAAAAATCAGGTTCTGTCATTTCACTTATTTCTCTTTTATGATTAAGTTTTGTGTGTTCTCTTCGATTGTTCTGTGCTGCTAATAAACAAGCTAACTTTTGTGTATATATTTTCTTTTGCTTGCACTTCTCTCTACCTTTTTTTCTCCTTGAAAAACCAGTAAAGATTCTTGTATTAAAAAAAGAAAGCAAGTAGTGAAGTTGCTTTCATGTGCATATGAAAAACAATCTGTTCGTTGTTTTAAATTCATGTAATGCCTTTCTGAAATTTAGATAACCAACTTCAGACATCTTTCAAGTTGCATTTTTCTGGTGATTTGATCTTCTCTGTTAAATAATCAGTTAAGTGCATAGAATTAAGTTTGGAAAATACTAAATGTTAAAACAAAGGTATTTTGAAGTAATGGTAGAGGTTTTAGTCTAACTGATTTAAAAAAAAAATCAGAGTTGAGGCTGCCCTTCCATTCTTAGTAAACTGTGCTGTAGGTATATTGATATAAAGAACTCCTGGCTATTCAGTGAGTCAGAGTGCCTGGAAGGCTGAATATCCTAATCTTTCTCCTCAAAAAAGAGCACTCCCTTCATGGTATAAGAAGTTATTACTGTATTTGAATATAGGGTTTGCTTTGTTTTTTAAAATGGAGCATTTCAAGGCATCAGAGGTTTGTAATATAAAAGTACAACCCCCATGATTTCTCTTTTCACTCTTGTTTTATTTCTGACCTTAGCGTCTGATGTGCAGTCCCAATCACACTGCAGAGTAGCTGTGTCTGCACTAGCATTTTTGTAATTATTTCCCAGTGTTTCTCTACCATTGGTGCAGCTTCACCTGGACTTGCATGTACAATGCAGCCAGGTACACTTGCTATATCTAAATGTTATCTTCCAAATTATACAAGGAACTTTATCCAACTCAGATATATTGATGAGTAGAACTGATGGGAGAGAAATCTCCTGAGGTCTTTTTCCTGCTGATTTTTAACAACTAATTCCACATGGTTAGAAACATTTTATTTTTTTGTGTGTTTATTCTCTCTGTCCCTGACAAGATCCCTTCCACTTGGTTTATCCTGGTTTATACCCCACTTGAGAATAACTATATTTGTGAATGGTGTGACCCGGCCTTTCAGAGCGAATCAGTGCTGCTGCTTAATTGTCTGTAGGCATAACTGTTCTGTGATGTCAAGTATTGTGGGGATCTCCCACAATGAAATTCAGTGTCCCCTCCAGCAATCGTGCTGACCTATACAGTTTTTCTTCACCAAGAACAATGTTTTTACTTAACTAAATGTCATTCTTCTCCTTTTATTTTCTAGGAATCTGAATTTCTGTGTTTGGAATTTGATGAGGCCAAGGTGACTCAAATGCTGAAGAAACTGTCAGAGATTGAAGAGAGCATAACGGCGCTGACGCAGACCACCTGACTGTTAAGATAAATAAAGAGATTGTGACTCAGAACATAGCTGGCCTTAGTACTTGTTAATAATTTCTATTTTTATATATGAAATTGTTATCAATATTCTAGTGATATTTAATCATAAAATAAAATATTGTGGGCTCGGTTGTGCCACTCTGACACTTGTGAGCACTTACTCAAACAAGAAATCCCATTGGATTCAATGGGGCTACTTGCCTAACTGCATAACAGCTGAGCAAGGCTGTGCATAATCAAGCCCTACATGTTAGAGTAGTGTGGCTTTCCTTTTCATGCCTCTTAATGATTTGTCGAGTCATCTTCTGACTACTCTGACTCTTGAGATAAATATTGGGCTGCAGTCAGTATCCAAGGGAAACTGAACGGCCATGTGGCAGGGGAAAAAGACAGACAATCTAATGGCTGCTCAGATTTTTCCTTATAAAGTAAAGATCTTCTATGATCATTCTTTCCCTTTCTCATTGGAACCTAAGGGGGCAAACTGGGGTCTCAGTCAAAGTCTGTGATAGATCTCTGTTGTGGTTGTGCACTAGGTATAAAAACGAATACAACGTCAACCAACTAAGAATAGGTGAGACGAGAGGTTTAACTGCCACAGGTAGAGAAAAACATAAAGGAGAAACTGAATCAGGAAATCTCTGCTAATGAAGTTTAGTAGACAGTCAAACGCAGAGACCTGAAGCTCTGATAGACTCCGATTAGTACACCTGCTCCCGTCACACCTTGAATCTTATAAAAGAATCGATTTAACTAGTTCACTAGCACATACATATAGTACATTACTGAAAACAGTTATCAAAACAGTTAGGGAAGCAAATCCATCAGCCATTCCAAAGCACAGAGAAGAACTCTCCTGGTACACATCATATTGACCCCTCTCTCTCTCAAGCAGGCTATAAATATCGTAGCAAAAATCCTAGGTCCCAGACAGGAAATAATCCTCCAGTCACTGATAAAAATCTCGTTGCAATTTAACAGATTTACCACGCACCAAATGGCTTCTAACATGTATTTGCCCACAAAGAATCTGATCCTGCAGAGTACTGAATCCTTTCATAGGCTTAAACCAGGGATGTATGTGGCCCACAGTCACTTAACCATGATTCATTTCAGTGGCTTCCACTTTATACAGAAATTAAACAAACAAATGCTGTCAAGATTCACTATATAGGAATAATTTTCTCATTACTGTTAGCGCCTGTAGTGCCCTGTCTAGTCACAAGCATATTGATCAAAGGAACACTTGTATTTAATTTTTTATTGATCTGTAAATGTAGGGCCCGTTCTGTTCCCACTGAAGTCAATGGAAGTTGGCCGTTATGTTAAGCCCCTTTCTTTTTATCCAGACTGTAACAATGTATGTGTACTCACCCATTTGTTTTGAATTTGGTGTGTTTGGCACCACATGACCCTGAGGCTCTATACAGGCACAGAGTTTTTTTCTACTGCTATGATTTGAATAGAGGTTTATTTTTAGTGTGCTTAGTTTAACCAAATCCTAATAGTTCCAACCCCTTTCTTCCCTTTTCGCTGGCCCACCAGCAGGCTGTTCAGTTAATTCAGCAGTATTCATACCACGTTAAAGTTTGGGAACCTTTCCTTTCCAGAAATGGGATGTGAGCCCTTTATTCTGATATGGGGCTGCCATGATCCAAACTCCACAGACAGGGGACAAGATCCATTGCTCCTAAAGATTTGGCATGGAGATTTCCCAGCCTTTACTCTTTGCTACTGTTCTGAAGAACATCGGTGAGGGGCTATGATGGTGACCTGTGGAAACAGGAGGGATGGGGTTAGAAAAGATGGCAAAACTAAGTGCAATAAAAATAAACCTCACCTCAGATAAACTAACTCCTCGTTCTAATAAAAGCTCTGTCTCTGTACGTAGCTTTGGGGCCAGGATGAAAGCATGGAATGTGAAGCTGTGAAATTCCGAAACACGTGTACGTGTGTGTCTATAATCTAAATATACAGTAGTTATTTCTCTAAAACATATATTTCATTAGCCCCCAGTGTGTTTAAATAATTAAGTAGTCATTGGGCCAGTGAGAGAGAGTGAGAATGACTCTGTAGCATGGTGGTTAGTGCACCCCCTTGGGAGGAGGAAGACTCAAGTCCCTGTTTCAATAACTGTTTCATTATTTATAAAAAGTGGAATAGCTTAAACAGGAGACATCTGCCCCACACTATGCCAGAGCCCAGCAATTAGAATATTTTCCTGGGATGTAGGAGATCCAACTTCAAATCACTGCTCCACAACAGGTCTCCTACAACCTGTTCAAGTGCTTTAAATGCTGGGCTAAAAGTTACAAGGGGGTATCTGCACCACCAGCAGTTTTTGTTGAAAAAGGACTGACCTGGCCTAGGCGCCTAACTCTAGGAGAGGTACATGGCTGTGAATCTCCAGTGGAGCTAGGCACCTCCCTCCGACCTGGACTTGAGTGCCAAACTGCCTTTGAGGGGTGGGGCTTAGGACCTACCGCTCTCCTCCTCATTTTCTATTGGCTAGCTTAGGGGCTCCCTGCTCGTCTGCTGGCTTTTGTGAATCCCTTTCTTAGGCACCTCTCTCTTCCCTATCAATCCTGGGTGCCTAAACTCAGAGTGGGGAATTGTGCTGGGTGGTCAGGTCCCTAAAATGTCCCTTTGTGGATCAAGCCCCTCCCTCTCTTGCAGCTCTGCCTGGTCACCTGCATTCCATTGTGCTGCTCAATAGAGACTATTTTCTTGCTTTTCTTGTTATCACTGGCAAAAAACGTATACATATTAAGGGTTAAGGTTCCATTGATTCTTTCCATTTATTTTCGCTTTGTAAGCAACAGATAGAGCTAAGACTATATTAAGTGCTAGTACAGAATAGTGATGACAACATACAATACAGTAGTGCCATAATTGAAGTGCATTTCATTGTCTCTGCAAGTGAATTTAGTGCTTGTGAAGATGCCAGATTGATTGCACTTAGAAATTCAACTTCTCCCTTCACAGAATGGGGAAAGGACAGGATTTCTTGCCCACCCAATCAGAATATAAATGCAGCTCCCCGGTTAACCCACACCATCCTCTTTGGGGCCCACCTCCCCCTTCTGTCCTCCTCTTCCAGCACTACTCCTCTCAAGAGCTGCCCCTTTTCCTGATTTCTCACCCTCCTGTGTAAGGACTTTACATCCTCCTGTATCCATTTTTCCATCTTGAGTTCTCAGGTCTCTTCTTACTACTTCTGGGCCTTTGCCACTACTCAGTGCCTCCCCCCCCATGAGAGTCTGAGCAAAAGCTACCCTTTGCCACTCATTTCCAATTTTGTAACCTCCATGACCTGGGTAGAAGACTCGTCCTGAGAAATCATAACTGCCCAAAGGTGGAGTCATCTTCTGCCACCACCACTTGATCTGACTCTGTCTTGCCAATGCAGTGTGTTATTTACTGCTTCCTCAGGGTCCTCAGCCTGCGGGGGAAAAGGAGAGTGAAGTGGAAGCAGGACACCCAGGATGCACTGAGAAGCCAGATAGAGGAATTTTGATAGAGGAATATGCTTCCTCACGTCTCACCAGCAGCTAGGAGAGGGACTCCACTTGTGGGTGGGACCTGAAGACTCTTGAATACTCTGGCAACTCACTAGAAAAGGTGGAGATGACAGAGCAAATCTGGAGGTTATGCTAGTCTGGGCATCAGCAGCAGGACATGCTTCCTTACGGATCCTGGATAATGTGCCTATACCCATCCTGGAGGGATCTTTTCTATCACTAAGAGTCTATCTTGTCTCCAGGCTAATTCAGCCTTTGGCATCTGCAGAAATGGCCAGCAAAGTTGCCTGTTAGTGCTATTTGTGGACGATTTTAGCTGTGACAGGGACTCCCAGTGTTGCCTACTCATAGTTTTAATACAAGTTTTACAATATGTGGTGATGTTCTTAAAGCCCCAGCTGCAGGAGTCAAGTGATTTCATGATAATCTCAGCTTTCATTTTTTAATTTTTTTTTTTAATCTGGTACATTTCTTGCCCTCATGATTGTGGAGAAAAGGTCTGGAGTGCACAATGAAGCCTCAGACAGCAAATAAAAAGAACCCAGACTTTAATATTTTCTTTCATGATTTTTAAGAGAATCTCATTCTTGTTTGGGGCCTGATATGTCAGTTTTCAGAGATTGAAGTTGGCAGCATAGACACCTATCAGCGAGCAACTAGCCTGTGACCACCAAACCACCAGGCCTCCTGACGGCCAGCCACTAGCGATGGCTTTGGTCATAATCAACGTGTACTGGATTTGAACCAGGGACTCAGTGCCGATTCTCTGAACTAATGAAAGTTCATTAAAATGACCTAATACGTTTTAAACAAGGTTTTATTTTTTTAAAAATAGAGGGTCAGTTAACACTCACAATCTTAAATAACTTCCATCATGTCAAGCGTAGTAATTGTTTTATTTTAACATGCACGGAGGATAGGAAAATGTGATATAAATGGAAATTAAAGAGAAACAAACTTAGAACAGATGTCAGGAAGTACTATTTCATGAAAAGAATAATAAATATGTGAACTAGACAAGGTTACTGAGGCAAAAAAAACCCCCAAAACACTGGGGTCATTTTTGAAATAATTGGGTGCTTTCCAGGACGAACTTGGGAAGCTAAAAAGGAGCATGTTTCCATGGACTTCAGCAACTTTCTCCCTAACATTTATTGTCTCTCTCTAATCTAATGCTTCTATTTTCCTCTTCTGGGGAGTTGTAAATTATCTAGCAGATGTGAGAAATACTAGGCGCATATTGAGCCAAATTCTGTCTGGCCTTCAATGAGGTTGCAGGGGTGTGACTGGAAAGGAAAAATTGTCCCATTCTGCAAGATTTGTCATTGGCAGTAAATTTTGTACTTCACCTGAGTGCTTTAATGCTAGGTTAACGTGGTCGCAGACCAGGTGGTTTCCTCTGTAAAAGTGAGCTCAGGTTTAACCTGATTTAGGTGGAACTAAATGGAAGTCTGGTTTGAACTCTTTGTGTCAGGATTTGAAATAACATTTTAATACACATAGAT